CATGAACGCTGAGCCTTCCACCTTGAATAACCTTGTAGTGACAGATGGGTTGCTCCAGCCTTCCACCTTGATTGTTCTTGTAGTGACAGATGGGTTGCTCCAGCTTTGAGAGAAACTTTCTTTCACATTTGGAAGTCAGCGTGTGTGTAGAATTTGTTTTGAACATGTAACAAGTTTGAAGTTGGTAGAACTTGACTGAGACAACTGAATGTAACGTCCATATTTGACCCAAAAGTAAAGTGAATTTCACTTGGAGAATCCGGGTATCGATCCCGGTACCTCCCGCATGCAAAGCGGGCGCTCTACCATGTGAGCTAATTCCCCTGTGCAAGACATTCATAAAAAGCCAAATAAGAAAATATTTCACCAAAACAAAAACAGCAAAACACTTGGAGAATCCGGGTATCGATCCCGGTACCTCTCGCATGCTAAGCGAGCGCTCTACCATGTGAGCTAATTCCCCTGATGACGGACTAGGTGTGTCTTCATTCAATGTATTTTTCACAATCACCTGTAGCGGTTTGGGGCATGAACGCTGAGCCTTCCACCTTGAATAACCTTGTAGTGACAGATGGGTTGCTCCAGCCTTCCACCTTGATTGTCCTTGTAGTGACAGATGGGTTGCTCCAGCTTTCAGAGAAACTTGCTTTCACATTTGGAAGTCAGCGTGTGTGTAGAATTTGTTTTGAACATGTAACAAGTTTGAAGTTGGTAGAACTTGACTGAGACAACTGAGTGTAACGTCCATATTTGACCCAAAAGTAAAGTGAATTTCACTTGGAGAATCCGGGTATCGATCCCGGTACCTCCCGCATGCAAAGTGGGCGCTCTACCATGTGAGCTAATTCCCCTGATGACGGACTAGGTGTGTCTTCATTCAATGTATTTTTCACAATCACCTGTTGCGGTTTGGGGCATGAACGCTAAGCCTTCCACCTTGATTGACCTTGTAGTGACAGATGGGTTGCTCCAGCCTTCCACCTTGATTGTCCTTGTAGTGACAGATGGGTTGCTCCAGCTTTGAGAGAAACTTGCTTTCACATTTGGAAGTCAGCGTGTATGTAGAATGTGTTTTGAACATGTGACAAGTTTAAAGTTGGCGAAACATGTAAACAACATTGATTTCAGTCGACTGCAGGATTTGCAAAGCATGTGTACCGGCAACTTGGCGCCGACAGATATTTTGGAATTATTTTTATGTTTTGAATCAAGTTGCTCAATTGAATTGATTCACTTCGCGAGATAAGGTCCGCTTAATTACAATTAAAGATTAGATCGTCTTGACTGGGCGCCGCCATTTTATGTGAAGCAAATGCAAATCTTTCTCACGTTCGGCTATTTGCAAGTGCCCTCTGTTGGCAGATTGAATGCATGTGTATAAGAGATGGAATATGATTGGTCAATAGGAGGGGCATAGAAGGGACATAACTCGTAATAGCCACTGATGGCGCTACGATCGAGCCTGGAAATTCCAACTAAGTTCGGCAACGGTGGAAACTAGACTTTATCGCCATAAAACGTCCGCGCATTGGTGACGTTAGACGTCGGATGAAGTTAGGTGTCAATGAGACATTGTTCCAACTCCTGAACGGCGGTTGGTGCCACGATCCGTTTTCTCGATCGGTCAAGATAGTGCCATATGTGTTCAATCGGATTCATGTCTAGGGAAAATGCAGGCCAGGGTAATACATGAATGTTGACGTTATTCAAAAAGTTGGTTGTTAGCCTTGTAGTATGCGGCATAGCATCATCATGCTGAAAAAGAACACCACGTAGTTGTTGTTGAATACCGTATTCGACGTAATAAGCGCCCTTCTCTAATAAGCGCCCACGGCGATATTTGTTAATATATTGGCTAGTGAACAATCTCAATTAGCACCCCTTCCAATTGATTAATGTACACAAGACTTATTTATTTGTGTATAATACGCACTCGTATGTTATATGCACCCTTAATTATGGGCAATTAAATTCTGGAAAAATATATCTGTCGTATATAAACATTTCAGGCTGTCGGCATAAACCACGAAATTTACGATCTTTCAACTCAAAATAATATTCTAATAAGAGCCCCCTATTTCTAATTTTGAGAGCGCCCTGGGCGCTTATTACGTCGAATACGGTATATATGGCTGCACTACTGGTTGCAGAACGTCGTCCCTATATCACAGAGCCGTCAGGTTTCCCCGAATGACCAGCCTCGTTGTCATATCTCCACAGATGCCAGCACAGATAACAACGCTACCGCCTCCATATGCTCGAACTTGTTGGACACAATTTGGCGCTAAACGTTCACCCTGTTGTCTGCATACACGAATCCTACCATCATTTCTGTACAGACAAAATCTGCTTTCATCAGTAAAAATCACTCGACTCCAATCTCGCACTTGCCAACGTCGAACTCGGCGGGCCAATATCAACCGGTTATGTCGATGTTGATGCTTGAGCATTACGCCGTGGTACGATCGACGTGCTTGAATACCGTATGTCCTTAATCGTCGTTGTACAGTCTGTCGACCGACCCGGTGTCCCAGTGCCGTCGCTGCCGTTGCCGTCGCTGTGGTGAACCGGTTTCTTAAATGCGTTGCCCGGATTTGACGGTCTTCAGCGGGCGTAGTCACGGGTGGTCGGCCGATCGTGGCCTGACGGTAACATGGGAACAACGTCGGCGTTGGAGGCGCCTGGTTGAGACATTCCGATGGCCCTCTCTCTCTATCTATGCTTGATAAACGGGGCATGATGTTGTGTGCTTTTTGTAACTGTGTTTGTAACGAGTCGCGTGAGCACATCTCATGTTACATCACCAAACCTCATTTCTGGCAAATTCACGTTTATTTCACAAATAAAGAATAAAAAATCGCTTTTATCCACCGAATACGTTTGGTTTGGAAGTAGGGATATGTTTAAGTAACATATCATGAAACATTTTTATTTCATAAAAAAAAACATAAAACATTTTCGAGCGTAAAGTTTCTTTTGTACATTAGTTCATAACCAACCATCCAACCAACCAACCAAACAACCCATCCATCCATCCATCCATCCATCCATCCATCCATCCATCATCCATCCATCCATCATCCATCATCCATCATCAATCCATCATCCATCCATCCATCCATCCATCCATCCATCATCCATCCATCATCCATCCATCCATCCATCCATCCACCCATCCATCTACCCCTCAATCCATCCATCCATCCATCCTCCATCCATCCATCCATCCATCCATCCATCCATCCATCCATCCATCCATCCATTCATCCACCCATCCATCCATCCATCCATCCACCCATCTATCCATCCATCCATCCATCCATCATCCATCATCCATCATCAATCCATCATCCATCCATCCATCCATCCATCCATCCATCTACCCCTCCATCCATCCATCCATCCACCCATCCATCCATCTACCCTCCATCCATCCATCCATCCATCCATCCATCTATCATCCATCCATCCAGCAATCATCCAACCATCCATCATCCATCATCCATCATACATCCATCCATCATCCATCATCCATCATCCATCCATCCATCCATCTATCCATCCATCCATCAATCAATCATCCATCCATCCATCATCCATCATCCATCATCCATCCATCCATCATCCATCATCCATCCATCCATCTACCCCTCCATCCATCCATCCATCCATCTATCCATCCATCCATCAATCAATCATCCATCCATCCATCCATCATCCATCATCCATCATACATCCATCCATCATCCATCATCCATCATCCATCATCCATCCATCCATCCATCCATCCATCCATCCATCCATCTACCCCTCCATCCATCCATCCATCATGTTCAGCGGAAACTAATAAACACCTTACAGTTAAATGAAAAATACAAGAAACGAGACCGTGTATGTCAGCGCGTGGAACAAGGCCGTACACTTATGGGATTATATTCAGTCGTCCTATACTGTGATCACATCGTATGTAGACTGTATGTATGTATTCCACCATCATCATCTCTATTTCAATATGGATTTAGGCCGTCGGCCCATACAGCTTCAGTGCAGCTGCACCCAACTGGCAGTCCTTGAATTACACGTTCACACTTTTGTTTCTTAATTGCATTGCAAACAATACAATACAAACTTTGCCAAATGTCTAAAATTAGCAATGTTATCAACAGACTTTATTTCTGTATAGTGGGATGTACACAGTATTTCTTACGAAAATAAATTTGACGCAAATCTGCATAAGCCCCACAAACAAGCAAAAAGGATACTCATTTTCTGTATATCCAGAATTATATATTTTACAAATTCTATTTTCTCTTGGTATTTTTAATATAGCGACCTGTTTCTATGTATAATTTAGAGGAACTGCAACGGACCAGAGCTAACGCTCGGCGAACTTGTTTATTGTTATACACTTTACATAAGGCCCCACATAGATAGATTTTTTAGACAGTGACAAGGACAAAGTTTCAGAACTACCAGTTAGCGAGGCATGCCAGCCTTGTTCATATGTAGCACTTAGTCGTATCATAAACTCTGTTATAAAACTATGAATAGACTGTATTTGCGGTTTATCCCAAACTGCACCAAAATCTAACCGGTACAACAATGTTTGTGTTTTAAAGCCCGTTTAATTTTACCCCTTGGCATGTCTAACAGCATCACATTATTGCATTTTTTTTAAAAAAAATTAATATTATTTATTTATTTTATTTTTTATTTATTTATAATTTTTTTTTTTTTTTTTTTTGGGGGGGGGCGTTATTCTGACATATATACAACTGTATAATAGTATTTAATGCAACGTTTATGAGAATAAATGTAAACTGGGTGTCTTTGACATTCGCCACGAACAACATGGGTAGAAGTTGACATCTTAACACCAAGAAAAGACGGTCATGGCCACGAACAGGTTCATTTTGCTCACTACATGAAGCTCAGTCAATGTAATGTGACGCATGTTTTGATCGTGATGAACCAGGATGTACTGAGGATTATAACGATTATATTTTACTTCCTTGTATTCTTACGGATGGCGGATTTATACACCAACACAATGTACAACTGGAGACACACCATCAGTTTGTTCTGCATTCTGCAGACATATCATGCAGGTAGGGCCTTAACTACATAACGTCGTAACAACACAAAAGATCCTGTTCGTGTAGATTTTCCAGACAGGCATTATTGCTCAGGTATTTGGCCTACAAGCTTAAAACGTACTGACAAGAAACTTGATAGCGTGTATGTGCTACCTGTGCTGTGACGCCGTCGCTCTGTTAGATATATTGCATGTAATACAACAGACTAATCCTAAGTTTCTGAAATTTTAACAGAAACAGACGTCTAGATTTAAATTGAAAAAGAGCCCCAATGATATGGGAATAAACATCTAAACTTGCTTCATTTAGGGCAAAAGCAGTACAGCGAGGGCTGGGCGGAGGGGAAAATAGTATGGTTCAGGAACTTCGAGACAGACCAGCTGGCAGAGATTTTGTGTAACGTGCGCTTATCTAAATATGTTTCTCAGATGGTAATCTTACAAAACCATCCCAAGACTATGACGCCATCACAATAACATTCTCCATTCAATGCATTGTGGTCAATCATCACGATGTTCATGATATCAATATGCGAAGACAAAATTCACTTACATTTGCCGGCAAGATGGTCGAAGATAGACGGAAGCAGTCCACATTCTCTTTGTTTCGCTGTTTCGTTGCCTTGTGCTTTATCCCATTCGCCTATATTTTGTCGCCAAGTCATTTGCAGATGTGGTGATTTCCTGCACTTATTAACAGGGTTTTTTCCAATCGAAAAATTCTATAAACTCAAATTGCAGAAGGTACAGATATGATCGCCATTGCCATGGTCTTTCCGACCCCTTTAGAGTTTTCATTCTGATACAGCATTCATTCCGTTTTCGGCTTTATCATCTGTTTGTATGATGGGCGTGACACCTTTACATTCCCTGAGATAAATACATAAATGTACCGATAAATCCTGACAAAGGAATTGTCGAGTTTTCCTTATTGATTATGGAAACTCCACTTCGAAAACCCGAATGTGTTGTAAAGGACATTGTCGTTTGAATATACTAGTTGGTGTTTCACAGTGTCCCAATTCAATGACCACTAGCTGAATTGTACCTAAGTTATCTAAACACTGTATTTTAATCTAATTTCCTCTTTTTCTGCTACAATTTACGGAACATGCTCAGTACTCAACCAGTTGTATAATTAAATCATTATCGTGCAGGTGCAACCATACAGACAAGTAGAGCTTGTTATGGAAGTATTGGTTCTGGTTCCTGTACTCTGCATGACATCAGCTGTAGCTGCTCTCTGAGGATCACCATCAGTGATGCCTACTACACAAACAATACAGAGTGTGGAATCACTGGTCTCTCTAGGTGCGCCACCATCAACCCTGACAGCATAACAGAACATGGTTACTTCAAGTTCAATGACACCGAGCTGCTCCCCCTCTACAACATCTGCTCTACAAAGACTCAATGTGTGTATCCGGCTCCTCGAAGATCAGCATTTCTTTCCTTCTCTGTTGTGAAATACCAGTGCATGGCAAGTGAGTAGAAGAAGTTTATTGTTTAACGGCGTCACACGCGTAGTCTCGTGGTGTTCCTGTTCTTCAGTATTACCTTGCAATATAAATCTCCTTCAACAGGAATTACGACAGACGGGCCGAACACCGGGGCTACCGAGGGTCCATCGTCCACACCCGCCTCTTCTCATGATCAATTCCCAGGTATAGTTGTGCACGTCTTGGGGATCAATGTGTTTCTTATCGGAAAATTGCCTAAGTTGACATGAAGTTTAGTGTAGGTGCCTTAGGAATGTCATAAGAGTGAGGGAGTGAGTGAGTTGGGTTTAACGCCGTTTTTAACAGTTTTACAGTTATATCGCGGCGTGTCAGCTTAATGTGGGAGGAAAGCCCGAAGTAAGGCAGATCCCAGACGTTTACCACTTCGGTGAAACCCACGAGCACGGGCATGGTGCTGACAAACCTAGAAACATAATCGGGGAGAACCGGGATTTGAGCCCACAATCATAGGTTCCTTGCGTGCCCAAGCAACTCAACTCTTCACAGCGAATCGCGGTGCCTTAGACGACTTGGCCACCCATGCCCCCTGAATGTCATAATAAGAAATTTCACAAGTCGTGAGACAGTATAACACGTTTTAACCTTTGCCAAAGGATCATACATGTATGATTTAGTAGTAGTTGTTTTAATTAGGAATGATTCATCGAGTCTGGATCAGACAATCCAGTGATCGATATTGTGAGCAATGATCCACGCCGAAGCCCCGTGGAAGTGGTTGTAGTAGTAGTAGTAGCAGTAGTAGTAGTAGAAGTAGTAGTAGTAGTAGTAGTAGTAGTAGTAGTAGTAGTGATGGTGGTGGTGATATTGGTTAGCAGTAGGAGAATGAGTACTATTAACAGTAGCAGCAAGTAGTAAGAAGACTAGAGGTTCTAATACGCATCACTTAACATTAAACTAACAGTAGCCCATTGACCTTTTTCACACTTTCGCCATCTTGGATGGAAAATGAGGCTTGGAGAGCACTGCTCCATGCAGAGTCCGTCGCATCAGCTGGTAGGAAACAGAGAGTATGAAGTGATGGGGACTCCATCTCCATGGGGACATTTCTAACAAGAAAATGGTATCCTCTATGTCGAATACAGAGGATATTCCACATTTAATCCTGAGGTCCAACTAAAATATGCGTGGGATACACGGGAATTCGCACTTTGCTTTAATACAGGGTTCCGGAAGTGAATCGAAAGGAGCATTTCGAGATACGTACATGTATTTCAGAAATTGATGTTTTATCATAACCTCGTCAGCATATGTATACAATGTGATAGTATATTTAATGACATATTTTTGTATCGTAAATGAACTGCATCACATGAAACACGCCCGTGTACTTTGCTAATTTGATCAGTCAATGCGTGGCTTGGCGAACTCGAGATCGCTATGTTTATTTCACGAGTTAGTGCGTGGTGTTTTTCACTATTCTTATGAAATAGAGAAGTTTTAGGGACAATAATCACAGTGAATAACATAACATGCTACCTAAGAACAATCTTGAAGACATCAATTCATCTGATTCTGTGTAAACACAACAGATGCATCAATTTAATGACACGAGAGTGTACTGCAGTTTTTAATTTCTTCATATCAAAGTCACACAGAAATTCACTCTTTTTAATCAGACAGGTTTTGATATTTGTATTATGTATTTAATCCTGAAATACTTTGTATGGTCTGCTTTCGCTGGAGCGAAATAACATTATTAAAATCAGGTGAAATATCACGTTTTGTCACAGCTGTCAGTTTGCCTCATTGACTCTATGGTTTTCTAAGATAACAAAGATAATATTATCTGAATAAGATGTGTATATTTTACATAAAACCAAATGGATTTCACAATTAAACATAAATAGGGGGAATAAATTAGTAATTAGATTAGATTAGATTAGATAAGATTAGATTGTAATACCCAGGGGAATTACACAACATTCATAATTTCTTTCTTTTAAAAGAAATCTCAGCCTCTGTTTTTGAATTTGAAATATATAGACTGCTAAAGAGTTATCTGTTTCTATCCATTATATAAAAATCACATGTAGATTGAACATATACTGACCATTAATTAGTTGGGTTTTGGTTCATTTCATGACATGATTATTTTGGAACAGAGACGTAAATATCATTTTGGTAAAAATATTGTTTACAAAATTTCAGATCAAACTGTATTTCACTTTAAATATATCAACACACTTTATGTAATAATTCAGTAGAAATAATACACCTCATGCTATCTAATCTCTCACCATTGTCAACTAAAATACCTACTGTTCACAATCACAGCTGCACCAGTAAATCTAGAGGTCTAATATTTTATTGTAAGGTATTTGAGGCCATTAAAAATTTACATCAAATCACACAACTGATGCAAAAATCTAATCTGTGTATGATTGTATTAACCTATTCTTAATAGGTTACAATAAGATAAATCAAATCAAAATATCAAGTAGCAAAGTGAGAATAAGGTCAGTAGGACTCGATGTAAGCACCGCTCACAGGTGGCCTACTCTGCCCTTACAATGAGGATAGTTTCAGAGTTACCGCTGCATGTGGGGTCTTAAGTTGGTGAAGGATTACATGATTCTAATCAAAATACGATTACAGCTTTGTTAAACTTAGATTTTAAGAAGAAAGACAACAAGAGATTAATTTTCTTTACTATGTAACATTAATTACACTCCTACGTTAATGTAAATACGGGTCGAGGATTTGTAGGGTATGTTAGAGGGGAACATATTAACCATGGCGTGTAAAGTCAGGAGGACTTGCACAGACAGTTATTACATGGGTTGGATGCAATGAGGCAGGGTCGACCCCCAGATTGACCACATCACACCTATCACAGTTGTTAAATGTTACATTATTCTTCAGTTGGTGTGTTTATGGGAGGTGCAGGTGCTGGAGGAGTGGTTGTAGCCCTGGCTGTCATTGCAGGGTACTTCCTGATTCTCAGGTGACGTGCTTACATTAAACTGCATTATTGACATTATTGTGATTCATGTTGTCATGAAAACGAGATCAAAGGCGGCGCCAAACATTTATGAGACAACATTCTCAAAGGACAGTGCCGTTATAAAAGCAGTCTAATTCGATATTTCAGTCAATTTCAAAATCGGCTTTCGCTGTCGTGATCTAACTATAATCATTAGGCATCATATAATTTAAAAAACATGACTCCTGGAATAGTTTATTTCTTAATAAACACTGACATACATAACCTGTCTTCAGAAACGATATATAAATATCCACAAGATATTATTTGTCTTATTAAGTAAGCTTGCGAATTTCAAAACTGAATTTAATACTGATCACTTTCATTTATTGTTATGCGTCCGTCCTAAACGAGAACTTTAATGAATTATTCACCCTTTTAGACGTCGGTATGACATCACCACCAAGACACCAGCGCCGTCGCTTCCTTTCACGGATCATCCCACGTCCGCTGATCTGTCTGCTCGAGTCGATGTCAACAACTACGCCGTCATGGGACAACCATCCATATCCCCAGAAGATGCCACCCATGACGCCAGTCTTCCTGCCTCCGATTACCAAACAATTTGAACCTTTCGTTCATCATGCGTGTATTCTCTTTCAGCACAGTATTTCATCATGCAAAGAGCTGTACTATATGACACTCAATGACATGACAGAGCATCCATGTTTTTCTATGATCATCATGATTCCAACCATAATGATTGTTTATCGTTTTTGGTGTCAAGATCACAATGTATATATTTCTCTGAAGTTGGTTTGATTGTATGTATTAAAGTGTGGTTGGACTGTATGTAAGCTGTGAGCTTTAGAGGTGTTATGTAAGATTGCTTGGGTCACGCGTGAACGTCATTTGTTGTATGAACGGTGTGATTGAGTGGGTATTTAAAAAGACTGTGAACAGAAATCGAGGGCAGTCAACGAGAATTCTAACCTTGGTTAGACGGTTTTGGTTTTGGTGCGTTGTCCAAATCTTGTGGCGTAAGTTACATTTTATTTGAATATTGGTTATGCTTATATTCTTGTAGCTTGATCATGTAAGTATTGATTGACATTGGTTATTCTAAGTTGTACTTGCTCAATGTATGTTAAATAACTCTATGCTTTTTTAGTTATTATGAGTATTGTACAGGCTTGATGTATGTTGAATAACCGTGTATAGTTATTCTGAGCATGCTCCCATGCTCATTTGTATGGTGAATACCTATGTGTGTACCATTCTGAGTATAAAATACTCGATGTAAGGTGAATGGTTACTTGTATATAAACTTACGTGTAAACGTTTGTTGTATAGTGTCCGGGGACCCAGAGGGGCACCTGTATGAAGTATGAGGAGACAGTGTCATTCATTTTATGAAGCCTGGCCCCAGGGCGACAGATGGCCAAGTACACAGAGATGTTTACATCTGGATAGAAGGAGACCTGTGTGAGGCTCGTAACAATGTACAGTTTATAATGCAATGGCGTAGAAGGAGGCGTGGCGAATGAATTTGTACGTATTGTGTACATAAAGAGAGATAATTGTTGACATGCATGTATTGAAATGTTGGAAGAAATAATGCCTTAAAGATGTTAATGTATTGAGGTGTTGATGTTGAGATGTATTAATGTGACCTGATATTGATGTATTGATGTATTGATGTTCTGTCATTGATGCAATGATATATTGATGTATTAATAGAGATTTAGAGATAGATTATTAGGGCAAAATTAGTGAATGTGTAAGTAGGGTTAACCTTAACTATTTGGAAAGTGTATGTTAATGGGACAGAGGGTGTGTGTGAAGTATGTGAAGGATGTGAAGTGTGTGTGAAGTATGTGAAGTGTGTGTGAAGGATGTGAAGAGTGTGAAGTGTGTGAAGGGTGATAGTGGAAGGTAGCTGAATGGTTGTGAGTGCGTTGGATACATCATTACCAACATGATTCTTAATTGTATTTAATAAATATATTCTTAATCCATATTTGGGTTGTTATTACTCCGTGATGTGACAGTTGGAAACCGAGTGTCTGAAAGGCGTTTGTTCCTTTGCCTTTGAGTCAAATGCATCATTTGAAACACCCCTGCAGTTGAAGTTCAACTTGTGACATGGGCCGCATTACAAGAAGGCCAATACACAAACGATGCATAAAATAGGGATAATTCAGTTTACATTACGGGATAAAGACCCAATGATGTCCACGCAATATATCAATGACAGCAAATTATAGTGCATGGCAGGTGTTTCCTGTCCGACTGTTGGCAAGGTTAAGTATTTCCTAAGTGGTTAGACCGCCTCCGTGGGTCTAGTGGTAGAGCGTCCACCCGAAGAGCGGAAGGTCCGGGGTTCGATACTAAAAGACGTTAAAAGATGGTACTTGTTACCCTTTCTGACGCTCGGCATTAAGTGCTAAAACAAGGACTGGTCGGCTCGGAGTCAGTATACTGTGTCTGAGTGGGGTATTCATGTTAAACTGCGGCATGATATATCAGTGTGCCAGCACTATAACCGGCATCAGTCCGGACTAGTACAAGCAGCCACACACACACGTGCATGCACGTCGCTATATAAGTGCAGTAATCTTGGACGCGACGTTAAACCCCATTTTACATTACTTCACCTAAATGGTTGAATAATACATTGGAAGGTCATGCAAGTGTGTTTCAACTTCGTATTTTATACGATTACGTGTTTGTCGCTTGGAATCTTGTGAGCAGTATAAAATAATTCTAACTCTTTGTTCAAATAATCATACACTGAAAATCCGCGAATAGCTGACTTTTGGTTGAATTCATACTGACGTGTGGTCTTCATGAAATGAAATCAATTTGAGTTATGTAATAAGGATAACATCACCCACAATAAAACGTTTCACTTACTAGTTAACGTGTTCAGTTAAGGAAATGTAGTCACAAGACGTCGTATCTTGAGTTTTAACTTCTTTTAAATATACATTTATTAGCTTCAATCTTGCTTTCGAATTTGCTTTGATCATCACTGCTGTTGCCGAATGGGTTATTTACTAATACGTGTTTGTTACATTCAATGTGTGTTTTATTTTTAAAGTGAATGGTATAGCTGTAAGTGTGTTTTCACAATGAATACCACACGATGCTTTGCTTTGTTTGTTTGTTTGTTGTTTAACGCTGCACTCAGCAATATTCCAGCTATATGACAGCTGTCTGTAAATAATTGAGTCTTGACCAGACAACCCAGTGTTTGACATCATGAGCATCTAGGCAATTTGGATACAGCGAGCCTGACCACCCGATCCCGATAGTCGCCCCTTACGGCAAGCACAGGTTGCTAAATACTGATTCTACCCCGGTTCTTCACGGGTCACGAGATGTTTTGTGTTATATCACACATACATTCGACAAAGTAAATGTAAATTGAATTAGCGCAGCCTATTAATAACTGGTCAACCCACTGATTGCGTGACAGTTCTTATGTTTGCAACAGAACACGAATAACAATGTCTTCACTCTCATGTAAACTAAACACAAAACACCAGTATATCATGGGCCTTACTAACAACCCCCAGTCACTAGTTGCACGAACACCGACGTGAACATTAGATCTTCCTTTCATTTGTTTGTTTGCTTTTATTCAGACAAGCATACACGATGCCGATCTGTGGAATACATGGTATTCCCTTTTTGTTTATCCTGATGTGCGGTCTGCAAGACAGAATTTATTCAAGTTATGTATTCAGCCATTCAGAGAACTATACCAACAATCATATGTTTCAGATAATAGAAGGTTCGTTTTAGTCAGAAAAAATAACGTTGTCAGTATAGTCATGGGATAAGGTAATAATATGTGGTAACGTCATTGAATCATACAGCCATGTAATGGTCTAAACCCTTTCAAGTTTGCTGTGATTATTACAGTTGTGCTGATACTGATGACCGCCCACAATCGATATGATTCAGATGTCCAAAGCTTTTTCTGTGGCAGTTCATCCAATCTTGGTTATTCTTCTATTTGTTAAACCATTATTATGACGTTAGGCTATAGAAGATTAAATTGATTGATTCTGAGCCAGAAATTCACTAGCTATTTGGAACGTACAGCGATAGGTCATTAAGTAAAATTTTCGAGACATTACATATCAGCCATAGCATGATCTGAGTCGGAGAAATCCCTCGACTTTGTTTAAGTGGAATAAACAGATTATCATGATTTCTCCTATATACGGTCCACGACGAACTATGAATGAACACACTTTCAGAGGAGGATTAATTAATATTTCTAAGAACAATGCACGATCTGGATGTGACTTACTCGAGCGGGCAGGCGGCGCTGCTGTGAAATACTGAACGACGGTTTGAGTGACGGCGACAACACCATCTCCGTTGTCTACTCCATTTGGATTCACGCCACCACCATTGACTCCATCCTGTCTTCCACCGGGTTTGGCCACACAGCGCCTCGGTCACATACTTCAGCAGCCTCTTGGACCTGGCAAGATCCTGGAGGACTTGGTGAAGTTCCCTCACGTCCCGCTTGGTATTCACCAGCTCCTTCAGACCCTGCAAGACCTGCCCCCCCTTGTCGTACGTCTCCAACCAGTCCTCCATCTCCCGTGCCCTCCTCACCATCACGTCCGACTGATCTTCCTCAAGATCTGTCTCAGCACCTCTTCCTTCAACTGCTTCTCTCTTGTCCGGAAAACCAACATACTCCGTCTGCAAAGTTATATCTCTTTTTCAGTGTATAATGCCACATACTGTTGCCTGTATTCCCTTTCCTCACAACTTTCGTTACAGGTTGGAATATCCTCCTGAGACGTATCCTGAACCTGGGAACTCTCACCCTGAACCATCGTCTTCTGCTCCAGGACTCTGCACTCGGGATGACGACAACCACGAGTCCCAGCAGAAGCACCAGCGCTATCTTCATCTACAGTACAAACGAAACATGTATTTTGTCCGAGCACATGGGATCTCAGTGGTAGATGTTGCCTGTGATTATTTACTGCGTCGCTTTTAACATGCTTTTGTACTGTTGTCGTAACTGGTTTCGGGGGTCCAGTGCGACCCTGCTACAGTTACTAAATGTATTGCCGTTCCTGGTCCTTGTGGTCAATTAAGCCAGGACATTGCCCTCGCCTTGTCCACCACGGCTCGGCTCCGTCAAGGAGAGATTGGTCTAATGACCCTTACTCCAAGTTGTCTCTATCAGCATTCACACACGCATAATAAAGAAACGCAACACCAGTTTATACTCACATAGTTTTACTTACTCTCAGCCCATCTATCACTACAGAACAGGATCAGACTGGCCAGGCTCGTCACTAGCTGGTGGAAACTTAGAACGATCGGGATTCGACTCGATCGACTGCAAACCGCGCTCTCCTCTCACAATGTTGAGGGTATCATTTTATAGTGTTCGAGCCTGACCTGTCCTTGTCACATGTCTCAATACCTCCATTTGATTCGTTACAAGTTTATATCTGACCATGAACTCATGTGTGTCGCCATCGGAAAAATACCAAAAGTCTACGTGCCAGATTGCTCATCTCTCTATTGATTCTGTGACTCGCTCCGAAGCTTCAAACGGATTATTCCTTGTAACTCCCCATTTGTTTCATTAGCTCATGGACGATAGCCTGAGACCAATCCAATGATAAATGTGAAATGTCCAGAATACACTTGTGATAAATGTGAAATGTCTTTTCTCTATTGATTCCTTTCCAACTACCAGTTCTGTCACGAACTATATCTAATGCAACTCCTCATTGCAGCTATAATGGTTCTATTTATTATCATTAGTTTCTGAGATGCATTTTTAACCTTATAACACTGTGAATTTACAATATCTCACTTGACAGTGTAACGTCATTTCTGTGACTTTGAATGTGTTCAGAACCAAAACATATCATCAGCCTTTAAGAACTTGAAAAGATTTTGATTACAGTTGTAAATAAATAAATATTGATTGCAATAACCGTATAGTTTTAAATTTAAATAAGTTTGAAATGTTCCTTTCTGAACAAACGTTGCTGAATAGAGGCCTAAACAAAACGTCATTATTAAACAGCTTGCCATGTATAAACGACTATGCCCAAAGGGTCATCGATCCCAATTGCGTGGATCGATGCTCATGATATCAATCACTGGATTGTCTGGTCCAGACTCGATTATTTACAGACCGCGGTCATATAGCCGGAATATTGCTGAGTGCGGCGTAAAACAACAAACCATCCATCCATCTTTACTCTCTTATCGATGTGTCATAGGAATAAGATTTAAGCATACTGTGAACTGAAATGGTAATCGCCTGTTTTGGTTTCGTGTATACATACAGTAAAATGACAAACACAACAATTTACCTATCATGTCCGATATGAATGCACATAGACATGGATACCTTTCGCCTTATTTATAGACAAACCGTGTTATTTTTCATTAATCCGTGTAAGGTACATATGTGCGAGCACGACACATGTAGACATTATTCCATTCCTCTTTCAGTAATTTGAGCAACATGATAACTCTTATCAGAAGCTACAGCAGGTGACGGAATATGCTTACGGCAATAGGTGTTCTGCATGTATATTATTGAACGACATCACTGAAATATGGTTACACGTATCTTACTCGAAGTTGTCCTTTATGCGTAGTTTACGATGAAAAGAATGCCGTTAAAAGACCAAAATGTGCATGGGAAAACCTATAATGTCAGTTGCGTTAACGAGGTTTCATAATATCTGTCAAGTAATTTTAGATTTTAAATCTGTTTAAACATTGAAGCGGGGCATGGGTGGCCCAGTCGTCTCAGGCGCCGCAATTCGCTGAGCAGAATTGCGTCCTTTGAGCACGCCAGGAATTTATGATAGTTTTGTTCGCGAAGAATATGTTTATAGGTTTGTCAGCACCCAACCTATGTTCTCTGGGGTTTCATCAAAAACGGTAAACATCGAGGACCTGCATCATTTCATTTCATCTCACATTAAGCTGACACGTCGTGATATAACTGGAATACTGTTCAGACGCGTTAAATCCACTCACTTAAACATTTAAGTGAGTGAGTGAGTGAGTATGGTTTTACGCCGCTTTTAGCAATATTCCAGCAATATCATGGCGGAGGACACCAGAAATGGGCTTCACACATTGTACCCATGTCGGGATTCGAACCCGGGTCTTCGGCGTGACGAGCGAACGCTTTAACCACGAGGCTACCCGACCGCCCCTAAACATTTAAGATCCTATTAAGACATTACTATCATTTACATATTCGCACCACGAGTTAACATTGTTTGTAAGAAAGCAATACCCTGAAGAGTTCTGCTACGACCATGTATGTGGTAGAAAGTATCACTGAATATTTCGAGCTTGAAAATACCCCATGAGAGATTGGTGCATGTATACATGTATTATACATTACCACTTTAATATACAAGAGCTCACCCAGAGAACTTCATGAGTCTAGGTTATTGCATTTGTTTTCAGCATACTGGTCGTGATGTTTGTTTTGATTATGTTATGAAAATATGGTTTGGAAATGAAAAGCTCTGAAGAATTTTCAGTTATAATGCTATAACGAACACAATTTTTATATGCTCTTTTGTGTCCTTTTATGATGGAATAATAATTTAAACATAAATAATATATTCATAACAGAGAGGGTTAGAATAATAAGCATTATCTCCAAATCACGTTTGACTGAAAAAAGGTCATTTCACAACTACATGTTGTATATACTGCATGCAATGCAAGTTTCAGATATTTCCTGACAGGACGCTATGTTATCATCTACGCTATCTATCACTGTTAAATGTAGGTGGCAGATGGGGACGTAATCATGAAAGTGTTGTTGCAGTTGCGGAAAGTCACAGATGGGCCACATATGCTTATAGTGTGCTGCTCATAATCACGATTGAGGGGACATTGCTTTTGTGATAGTAGTGTACCTGCCCCCTGCAACAAGTGTAACCAGCTGTCACGTGTTGCTGGTGTTTTGGCTCCGAGCTAGTAGACTTGATAGGTGTTGGGACTGACAGGAAGAACACGATTGTGCCCTGGATCAGCAATAACATTTTCATAACACATAAACCGCCAGTTCGTTATAAGCGTGTTCGTTATAACCGTAGTTTACTGTATACTGTGTGCCGATTTCCATTCTGTTAACAATGTTATTGACACTTTTCATTCATATTTATGCCGATACAAATTATTACCATACTCATACTTATAATCATCACTGTCATTTTGTTGTTTATTCTTCTTCTTCTTCTTATCCTTTCATACCAAGGTGAATAATTGTATAGACGTTTTATTTTAGGTTAAACATGAAGCAATACACCTAGATAGAATTGGATATACGCAGCTGAAACTCTCTCTTGGTATACTTGTTTACACATCACTGAATGTTTCAGTGGCATTACAAGTTATCAGAATTATTATAGAATTTTAATGATTATATACAAGAGGGTTCGATATGCACAAATCTACAGCCGTGGTGAACACACAGGGTGTCGCCTAAGAATCACAGATACTAACACAACTTAAAGAAGAAGACTAACTCAGTTACCGCCCCTGTTTTTGTTACCACCGAGGAGGGCAGTGGAGTAGCCAAGCGGTTAGAGCGTTTGCTCGTCACGCCGGAGGACCGTGTTCCATTCCCTACGTGGGTACAATGTGTGAAGCCTATTCTGGTTTCCCCTCCTCCTCCCCTCAATGTATAGTTGGCTGTTATGTATATTCAAATTCAAAATAAACGACACCATATTAATTTATTGATAACTGAAATATTTTTTCCGAGATTGTCACATTGGAAGATATTGTAAATGTGTGTGTGTGTGTGTGTGTGTGTGTGTGTGTATGTGTGTGTGTGTGTGTGTGTGTGTGTGTGTGTGTGTGTGTGTGTGTGTGTGTGTGTGTGTGTGTGTCTGTGTCTCTGTGTGTCTGTCTGTGTGTCTGTCTGTGTGTCTGTGTGTGTCCGTGTCTGTGTCCGTGTGCGTGTGTCTGTGTCTGTGTGTCTGTGTGTGTGTGTCTCTCTGTGTGTCTGTGTCTGTGTGTGTGTTTCTGTGTGTGTGTGTCTGTGTGTCTCTGTGTGTGTCTGTGTGTCTCTGTGTGTGTCTGTGTCCGTGTGTGTGTCTCTCTGTCTGTGTGTGTGTCTCTCTGTGTGTCTGTGTCTGTGTGTGTGTTTCTGTGTGTGTGTGTCTGTGTGTCTGTGTGTGTGTCTGTGTGTCTCTGTGTGTGTCTGTGTCCGTGTGTGTGTCTCTCTGTCTGTCTCTGTGTGTGTGTGTGTGTGTGTGTGTGTGTGTGTGTGTGTGTGTGTGTGTGTGTGTGTGTGTGTGTGTGTGTGTGTGTGTGTGTGTGTGTGTGTGTGTGTGTGTTTTTCTGTGTGTGTGTGTGTGTGTGATTTGGAAAGGGAGAGGGGGGGGGGGGGGGGGGGGGGGAGAGATTCGAAACCACACCCTAATTACCAGCACATACACAGTCAGCGACCTAATCCACTCAGCCACCGTGGCGTCTACAAAATGGAGTCCGAAAACTGGTAGTGTAGGTCATGTACCCCCTGTCAAGTGTGACTGGGCACGGCTGACATGGCCGAAAGCTCTGAATACACAACGCCTTTTTGGGGGAGCTTTGGCGGCTTGGTGGGTTGGATTGCTAACTTTGTGTGCTGACGATTGGGTGCATCAGTCTCAGGGTGTGATCGAATCCCGGATGGGACTCAACCCCAAAAAGTACCAGAACCTGCACTTCACAAAGAAAGTATGGTCCCAAATATAACATTTTTGACGATAGGGTGGTCAATACCTGTCTTATAGTCAGCGAGCAGCATTGTCGTGGAATGCGAGCTACACTCCATTATGAGCAGGTCGTCCCGATATATTGGACTATTGCTGACTGGCATAAACCAAGACTGCAAACATCACCAATGGGCTTTTTTTATGTCAATATATAAGAAATCCTATCCCAAGCTAGTTTGGCCAGTTCCCATTACATACAAACATACCAGGACACATATTCAAGGGCTTATTTATCTTTTATTTGAGTGCCGCGGTACAGCAGAGACGACAGGAACAGGTCCTGGCTCACTCGCAGCCTGGATCAATGCCGCCCTACTGGTCATCTGAAATATAAACACAAAGCCTTACTGACCCGCTTTGAGGCAATGTATGTTCACAGTGTATAAAAATGGTGCATAAGCATTAACATTATTTGCATTGTTCGCCTAGTGCAATGGACACGTTACGGAAACAGAGCTTAAATTCGCAACGTGGAATGTTTTATGTACGGAAGCGTAGTAGGGCCACGGTGAATTTTTTTTTGTCTAAGTATCTCCTACGTAGGACTTATTATCTTCTACGTAGGACTTACTATCTCCTACATAGGACTTAATATCTTTCTTACTATACGTAGGAGATAATAAGTCCTACGTATGAGATATTAAGTCCTACGTAGGAGATAGTAAGTCCTACGTAGGAGATACTAAGTCCTGCGTAGGAGATAATAAGTCCTACGTAGGAGATACTTAGACCAAAAAAAATCACCGTGGCCCTACTACGCTCCCGTACATATGAACATAACATAAGATTAATCCATTTCAAAGAGTTCACATTAGCAGTGTCAAACTTGATCATGGTACTATATCAGTATATTATAGGTTTGTTTCGAGATATTATATCATGTCTTGTTTGTCTGTTGTTTAACGTACTGAGCAATATTCCACCTATTCCGGCGACCTGTAAATAATCGTGTCTGGGCCAGACAATCCTATGATTGATATCCTCAGCATCGATCTACACAATTGGGACACGATGAGATGCATCATCCAAGTCACCGAGCCTGACCAGCCGATCCCGTTAGTAGCCTCTTACGACAAGCATTGGTTGCTAAAGACCTATTCTCACCCGGATCTTCACGGGTCTTATATCAGGATATCAGGATTTATGGGGCAATACTGAAATATACATAGACCCTTATTAATCAGAATCTTTTTGAAAAAGGAATTAAGGGTGATAGTGTCCACGTCAACGCAAATGGACACGCTGGCGAACGTGACAAACCCGTATTAGAAACTGAAAGGTACCAATAGAGAATATTGTACCGTAAACATCATACAACTCGTCTTACCTAAATCTGTATCATCCATTTCACGGAGGTTTCTCTCGAACTCCTCGACTGAAATGGTGTCGTCAACTACAATGGGAAAGATTATTGACATTATCGCACAAGCAGTTATGTATGGCTGTAGAGCGAACATCTGGTGTCAGTATTTCTTAGAAAGATTAATAAACACGCTTATGATGAAGTCGGAATCGTACAAGAGACTCGTCTTTTTTCAGGAATGTCTTATGATTATGGAAATAGTTTTGTCGCTTATTCATTTGGAGTGAGTGAGTATGGTTTTACGCCGCTTTTAGCAATATTTCAGCAATATCACGGCAGGGGACACCAGAAATGGGCTTCACACATTGTACCCATGTCGGGAATCGAACCCGGATCTTCGGCGTGACGAGCGAACGCTTTAACCACTAGGCTAACCGACCGCCGCTTATTCATTCCGCGTATACAGTCTAAATAAGATTCAGTATAATAAATATATCACCGTGTACTCTTGTTTATTACGCAGTCTTTATCACTATATGTATATAAAGTACTTGCAGTGCGAGTGTATAGTCCACTTTGTTAATAATTTCAACCAAAACACATCGCCGAATACATCCTCCGACATGTTTCATTCGTATCGAAACCCCGATTATCCGGTCCTCGTTATTAAACTTAACTGGGTATGTAGAATTTGAAAACAATCACAATTGATAAACGTAGCTTCGGTATTTACAAATGAACCTAAGGTGAGAACCTTATTACGTTGCTGATAAGGGGACAATTGCAGGCACCCACTTGAGGAAAGGTTGAGGAAAAGGCCGTAGAAGGTATTCAGGAACTGACTCCGAGAAAGATTGCCAACCCTATTCAAGAATGGGTGTGGAGTGGCAGATTGTGAGAAATGTTGCAGAAAACTGCAAATGGACTGACTAGAGTGAGTGAGTGAGTGAGTGAGGTTTTACGCCGCTTTTAGCAATATTCCAGCAATATCACGGCGGGGGACACCAGAAATGGGCTTCACACATTGTACCCATGTCGGGAATCGAACCCGGGTCTTCGGCGTGACGAGCTAACGCTTTAACCACTAGGCTACCCGACCGCCGGACTGACTAGGAGAAATGTTGCAGACACTAGTCAAGTTCGGGTAGAAAGGAATATCTCATTAAAATCAGATTCGATACCCTCTCCGTTGGATGAACCAAAGTCGAAATGAGTTTTTAGTCACTCTGAGGTCAGAAATAGTGTGTCGCCTATTGAAAGACGTGACTCAAATGACAGCGTTAAGAGAAACACTATTGCTAACATTATTATAAGATGCTGCTCCAAATGCATCGCTGGCTCGTTCGGAGAAGTTAGAAGCGTCACACTGATGGACTGTGAGAATGTTCACCTTACTTGACATCTTATGGAGGGTTCGACAGATCTTATTTTATGAAGGATTGCGAACATTAGTAGAGTGAGTGAGTGAGTTGGGTTTAAAGCCGCTTTTAACAGTATTAGATATATCGTGGCGTGTCAGCTTAATGTGGGAGGAAAGCCCGAAGTGATGCAGGCCTCAAACGTTCACCACCTCGGTGAAACCCACGAGCACGGGTATGGTGCTGACAAACGTAGAAACAAAATCGGGGCCAACCGGGATTCGAATCCACAATCATAGGTTTCTGGCGTGCCCAAGGGACGCAAATCTGCACAGCGAATGGCGGCGCCTTAGACGACTGGGCCACCCGTGCCCCCACTAGGAGAGAATGGGTCATGGTAATGAAAGGCAGTATGGAAGAACGGGCAGCGGGAAAGAAAATAACAGAAGAGGGAAAGAGTGCAGACAATGTATGAATACTAGAATCGGTTGAGGGAAAGCATGCAGGTACTATACAAGGCGGTTGCAGACATCTCACCGTCCATGGCATCCAGCAGGTTCTTTACATCTCGCTCCTCCAGAACCTGCTGCAGTTCCGTCTCATCTAACTCCCCATCTTTGTTGGTGTCAAGGCCGTCGGTGTCGCGCTTCCCTTGTCCTGTGTTAAGTACACACGTACACTGGATATGTCACACTGCTGGTGGTGGCTATTTACACAGTGTCTAACAATTCACATGGCTGAATGACAGGTTAGAGAACTATAACTGACAACTGACAGACACTGACAGTCACTTAGGCGATCAAATGTTCAGAGATCTTCATGAAGCTTGATCATATGGTTCTTTGTTAACATATGACGTAAAATCTTTCCACCCATTCAGTCATTCATGAAACCTAGCTTAAAACACTCAAGAACAGGCATAGACTTACGTATTTTATACGCCCAAGCTTTAACCGGATCCTTGACTCTCTCTCTGAACCACTCCCTCCATCGCAACCCGCTAACATCTGGTAGAACCACCATCAACGCCACCAGCATCAACAGCACGACCTTCATCTAGAAGTGTAGGATACTTATATGACTTTTTCAGTGAAGAAAGTTACAAGAGACAGTTATAATTAAAATATTTCAATGTTCGTGAAGGTATCCTCAAAGTAGGTATCTACAAGTTGCGATATGGAATTAAATTTCTATTTATCAAACTTAACCAATTCTTACCTTGATGTTAACACCTACGGCGCCGCAATTCGCTGTACAGAGTTGTGCCCTTTTGGGCACGCCAGAAACCAACGATTGTGGGTTCGAATCCCGATTTTCCAAGATTTCTAGATTTGTCAGCACCATACCCGTGCTCGTGGGTTTCACCAAAGCGGCAAATGTCTGAGGCCTGCATCACTTCGGGCTTTCTTCCCACATAAAACAGACATGCAGCGATAAAACTGTAATACTCTTCAAAGAGGCATTAAACCAAACCCACTCACTCACTCACTTCTATTAAGAACTTGCCTTACAACTGAGCCACGTTTCCGAGTACTATATATGGGTTTTTACTTACTGGTGATAAAATCGACCCTTTTAGTAAATGGTCTAGATTAGAAAAAGCATAGTGTAATATTTGACTTCTTTTGGATGTAATGGCGATCCATCTTAACGGTGCAATCAGGAGTGTCCGCGACTGCCAAGCTACTCGAACGCTGTCCCTACTTGGTGAGTGAGTTAGTTGGGTTCACTCGTATTTCAGCCGTCAAAGTATGTCAAACAGGATGCTGACATACCAAGAATTAACATTTGGATCAACGGATCCTGTGATTCAAGGGACGCAACTCTGCACATCGAATTACAGTGTTTTACCACAAGGTGCGCTGTAGCCCTGAAGATACATACCATCATGGGTAACAATTTTCGACACAGACTCGAAGACCGGTACGTTGAACATACATCAGTGGGTATAAGTGCCTCTTGATGCCTCGTATTTTCAAGATGTGTTCAAAGTGCGTGATAAAAATCTTTTCCGGGTTTCAGAATTAAATCATTTTAATTTAACAAAATTGATTTGAGGACGAAAATGGGGAGAGTGTTTTGTTTTTTGTTTGTTTTGTTTGTGTGTTTTGTTGGGTTTTTTTTGTGTTTTTATTTGGGGGGGGGGGGGGGGGGGGCGATGCATCCGCATCAGTGGAATAGGGAGAATTTCTGGAGCAATGAACGATGAGAATACTGCTATTGGTTTTGTTAAAGACCAGCTTTCACATTGAAAGTGCACTAGCTCGTGAAAGTGACACCTAACTAAAAATGAATATGTTATTTATTCATTACCAACGTGAAATAATTTTTAAAATCTAAAAAAATGACAATTTCTTCTTGTTCTACACCCCAAACTGAAACAGGTTACAAATACGATTGAGCATGAATAATACTTAAACGCTATGTTTCCGACATGCTCCAGCTAGTTCAAGCCCATGCAGTCGTTTTAATCAGAATTGCCTCGTTATTTAAGAAATGTTCTTTCCGGACAATTACTGCCAGAAACATCTAGAATTTACGTAGGGGCATCGCCACGTACCTATGATTCGTTTATTTCTATGCGAACTGTTGTCCCGATTGATTAGTTTCACTGAGTATACTCACTGCGCTTTCCCTGAACATCTTGTTTATATGTATAAACATACTGATAAGATCACATTATGTTGAATGACTTTACTATCCATAATTTCAAAATCCAGTTGAAAGCTGAATAGTGCAAATAGTGTAATTAAAAGAAACTGATTGGAAACACTTTAATACACGCGAACGTGTTCATAACAAACACACCATTTCCATAGCACCAGGAATGATCGAAACAAATGGGTAGGCAAACAGAACTTGTGTCCAGGGGAACGGGTGGCACAGTCGTCTAAGGCGCAGCAGTTCTCAGTGCATATTTGCGTCCCTTGGATACGCCAGAAATCAATGATCAGTTGTTCGAATCCCCGTTCTCCCCGATTATGTTTCAAGGTTTGTCAGCACCATACCCGTGCTCGTGGGTCAAGGTTAGTCAGCATCATACCCGTGCTCGTGGGACAAGGTTAGTCAGCATCATACCCGTGCTCGTGGGTCAAGGTTAGTCAGCACCATACCCGTGCTCGTGGTTCAATGTTAGTCAGCATCATACCCGTGCTAGTGGGACAAGGTTAGTCAGCACCATACCCATGCTCGTGGGACACGGTTTGTCAGCACCATACCCATGCTCGTGGGTCAATGCTAGTCAGCACCATACCCGTGCTCGTGGACAAGGTTAGTCAGCACCATACCCGTGCTCGTGGGTCAATGCTAGTCAGCACCATACCCATGCTCGTGGGTCAATGCTAGTCAGCACCATACCCGTGCTCGTGGGTCAATGCTAGTCAGCACCATACCCATGCTCGTGGGACAAGGTTAGTCAGCACCATACCCGTGCTCGTGGGACAAGGTTAGTCAGCACCATACCCATGCTCGTGGGACAAGGTTAGTCAGCACCATACCCGTGCTCGTGGGTCAATGTTAGTCAGCACCATACCCGTGCTCGTGGGACAAGGTTAGTCAGCACCATACCCGTGCTCGCGGGACAAGGTTAGTCAGCATCATACCCGTGCTCGTGGGTCAATGTTAGTCAGCACCATACCCATTCTCGTGGGACAAGGTTAGTCAGCACCATACCCGTGCTCGTGGCCAAGGTTAGTCAGCATCATACCCGTGCTCGTGGGACAAGGTTAGTCAGCATCATACCCATGCTCGTGGGTCAATGTTAGTCAGCATCATACCCGTGCTCGTGGGACAAGGTTAGTCAGCACCATACCCGTGCTCGTGGGACAAGGTTAGTCAGCATCATACCCGTGCTCGTGGGACAAGGTTAGTCAGCACCATACCCGTGCTCGTGGGACAAGGTTAGTCAGCACCATACCCGTGCTCGTGGGTCAAGGTTAGTCAGCATCATACCCGTGCTCGTGGGTCAATGTTAGTCAGCAACATACCCATGCTCGTGGGACAAGGTTAGTCAGCACGATACCCGTGCTCGTGGGACAAGGTTAGTCAGCATCATACCCGTGCTCGTGGGACAAGGTTAGTCAGCACCATACCCATGCTCGTGGGACAAGGTTAGTCAGCACCATACCCGTGCTCGTGGGTCAAGGTTAGTCAGCATCATACCCGTGCTCGTGGGTCAATGTTAGTCAGCACCATACCCATGCTCGTGGGACAAGGTTAGTCAGCATCATACCCGTGCTCGTGGGACAAGGTTAGTCAGCACCATACCCGTGCTCGTGGGTGAATGTTAGTCAGCACCATACCCATGCTCGTGGGACAAGGTTAGTCAGAACCATACCCGTGCTCGTGGGACAAGGTTAGTCAGCACCATACCCGTGCTCGTGGGTCAATGTTAGTCAGCACGATACCCGTGCTCGTGGGTCAAGGTTAGTCAGCACCATACCCGTGCTCGTGGGTCAATGTTAGTCAGCACCATACCCGTGCTCGTGGGACAAGGTTAGTCCGCACCATACCCGTGCTCGTGGGACAAGGTTAGTCAGCATCATACCCGTGCTCGTGGGACAAGGTTTGTCAGCACCATACCCGTGCTCGTGGGACAAGGTTAGTCAGCACCATACCCATGCTCGTGGGACAAGGTTAGTCAGCATCATACCCGTGCTCGTGGGTCAATGTTAGTCAGCATCATACTCGTGCTCGTGGGACAAGGTTAGTCAGCACCATACCCATGCTCGTGGGACAATGTTAGTCAGCACCATACCCGTGCTCGTGGGACAAGGTTAGTCAGCATCATACCCGTGCTCGTGGGTCAATGTTAGTCAGCATCATACCCGTGCTCGTGGGTCAATGTAAGTCAGCACCATACCCGTGCTCGTGGGACAAGGTTAGTCAGCACCATACCCGTGCTCGTGGGACAAGGTTAGTCAGCACCATACCCGTGCTCGTGGGACAAGGTTAGTCAGCACCATACCCGTGCTCGTGGGTCAATGTTAGTCAGCACCATACCCGTGCTCGTGGGACAAGGTTAGTCAGCACCATACCCATGCTCGTGGGACACGGTTTGTCAGCACCATACCCATGCTCGTGGGTCAATGCTAGTCAGCACCATACCCGTGCTCGTGGACAAGGTTAGTCAGCACCATACCCGTGCTCGTGGGTCAATGCTAGTCAGCACCATACCCATGCTCGTGGGTCAATGCTAGTCAGCACCATACCCGTGCTCGTGGGTCAATGCTAGTCAGCACCATACCCATGCTCGTGGGACAAGGTTAGTCAGCACCATACCCGTGCTCGTGGGACAAGGTTAGTCAGCACCATACCCATGCTCGTGGGACAAGGTTAGTCAGCACCATACCCGTGCTCGTGGGTCAATGTTAGTCAGCACCATACCCGTGCTCGTGGGACAAGGTTAGTCAGCACCATACCCGTGCTCGCGGGACAAGGTTAGTCAGCATCATACCCGTGCTCGTGGGTCAATGTTAGTCAGCACCATACCCATTCTCGTGGGACAAGGTTAGTCAGCACCATACCCGTGCTCGTGGCCAAGGTTAGTCAGCATCATACCCGTGCTCGTGGGACAAGGTTAGTCAGCATCATACCCGTGCTCGTGGGTCAATGTTAGTCAGCATCATACCCGTGCTCGTGGGACAAGGTTAGTCAGCACCATACCCGTGCTCGTGGGACAAGGTTAGTCAGCATCATACCCGTGCTCGTGGGACAAGGTTAGTCAGCACCATACCCGTGCTCGTGGGACAAGGTTAGTCAGCACCATACCCGTGCTCGTGGGTCAAGGTTAGTCAGCATCATACCCGTGCTCGTGGGTCAATGTTAGTCAGCAACATACCCATGCTCGTGGGACAAGGTTAGTCAGCACGATACCCGTGCTCGTGGGACAAGGTTAGTCAGCATCATACCCGTGCTCGTGGGACAAGGTTAGTCAGCACCATACCCATGCTCGTGGGACAAGGTTAGTCAGCACCATACCCGTGCTCGTGGGTCAAGGTTAGTCAGCATCATACCCGTGCTCGTGGGTCAATGTTAGTCAGCACCATACCCATGCTCGTGGGACAAGGTTAGTCAGCATCATACCCGTGCTCGT